CAGCCAGCCAGCCAGCCAGCCAGCCGGGCCGTCTCTTTCTTGGACATCTGAAGGCAGCGTGTGGCTCATTAGTCATCACCACAGCCTCTGTTTTTCTGGGTGTTTTCTCCCCTTGTCTTGAAGGCGCCTTTTGTGAGATATTTTGGAGTACGTTATTTATCGCCTTTCACAGACAAAGAAGCTCTGGGGCTCGAAACACTTTCCAAAAGCACCATATTTGCAGATTTTGTAGTGTGAAGCTCGCACGTCTCTCTAAATTTAAGTCTTCACTTGGGGAGCTGTTCTTCTTCTTCTTCTTCTTCTTCTGTTCTCAGAGCAGAAGAAACCATCACGCTGTAGTCGGCACGGACCGCGTTACTCTTCGTCCACCGTGGTCTAAATTAAATAATTACAAATCACGTCTGATTGCAATCACTTCAGTTGTACTTGACATTTAGACGAGTAGGTTTTTTTTTCTCTCCTTACAGTATCAGTAGGTTTTTATTGTTACAAGTGTCTGTATCAAAGAAAGAAAAAAAAAAACCACCACCATAAAAATGATTTCATGATTCCAGATGAATTTGCTGCAGCTCTGCATTAGTGACACCTGCAGGTGACGCTCTGCTGCTGAGGCTGGACTTTGGTTTCACACTCTTCACTTTGCTGAAGTTTTTTCCATGACTCACACATAGACTCCATTTATACCTGTCATTAAGATGTGATCTGTATCTGCTGGGGGGGGGGTCAAGGGGGGGGCAATGCACAGGTAGCAAACACGTGGCTCCCGGCTGATGGAAACTGTGAGTTCATTGGGCCGTGGTGTCCAGGACGAGAGGCGTGAGAAGAAAAAAATAAATCTCTTTTTTTTTTTTGTCTTCAGTCTGAGGTGGTGTCTGACTGACACAACAGTCGAACGGACTGTTCCTGACTGGACGACCAATAATATGTTGAGGACTTGACTGAAGTTTCTTGTCCAGATGAACAGTAATGAAAACACCAACTCTATGAGGAGACATTTTCACTCAGACAGATTAATAATCCCATCATTCGGATTAAACACCGACGTCCACCTGTGGTCACGTTTCTGTCTTTTACAGAAATACACATTTATACAAATATATTTTTTTGGTGTTTTCATATTCAGGAGTGTTTATAAATCGTGACAATTTCCCATCATCCCCCGCTGTCTTGTGATTAATCGTGTTAAAAATGGCTGAACGTCGAAGAACTCTGTCTGTGAGACGGTGAAGGTTTGGTGATCAACCTGTGGATCCATGGATCATCCTGGCCAATCGTGACTGTTCCCTGAGTTGTTCGTGACAAGACAAATCATTTAAGGCTCCTGTCAATCATTGTGGTGAACTTAGCCACCCCTGACAGAGGGGGCAGTGTGGGTCCACTCCACGTCAGCACACGTTGAGTGAATGGAAAATCATCATCATTGATTAAATCTCCATCTGGGCACCATACCCAGACGGAGTCGACTTCACACTGGTGTTCAGTTGCCAGGTGTGTCGTTTGTGCCCTCCTCCTCCCTCCTCCTCCTCCCTCCTCCCCCCTCCTCCCCCTCCTCTTTTACGACTCTTCTCTTTTGTTTTTTTTTTTTATTTTTTTATGTGGCCTTATCTGCTTTTCATCTGCTCTGCTGCTCTTTCATGTGGTCCTCCTCTGATGTTGCGGAGCTGCCTCCCGGCCACATTCCGATCGAACTTCCCCTCATATATTAAGTATGATGCAACAGCAGCAGCCCGTACCCTGGGCTCAGCGTGTCGGGCGGCGTTATCAGAGCCGGGTCGTCACGTCGTGGGTGTTAGAGTCCGTCGTCCTGGAGAGACACAGATATGACGGGCTTTTATGGAGTGTGGGAAAAATGATTGTAACCTTGGTGTTTAGGATACAGCTTTTTTTTTTTCTTTTTTTTTTTACAGTCCATAAACACACACACACACACACACACATCTCTCAGCATTGTTATACTGTGCCCATATGTTTCCCATCCTCAGCTTTCTCAGCCTGATTGCCAAGACACATCTGGTCCTAATGAGGTGTGTGTGTGCGCGGGTGTGTGTGCGAGCCTGTACACACACACTCCATGCTCCAACTGTTGAGGCTTTCAGCTCGGCCTTGTGTTGAAGTGGTGTTGAGTCTCTTACTGCCACCCACTGCTTAACAGCACAAAGCCTATACTTTTAACTCTTGTATAATGCCCTGTGTGTGGCCTGTTGTGTGTAATTGTGTGTGTGTGTGTGTGTGTCTTCTGATAGTGGTTATAGCAGCATAGCTTATATTTTGTCTGCGTCTATCTCAAGGCCTGCTAATCTGTTGTTATTACTCTGCTGATACTGCTGCTTTGATGCTGTTATCACTCAGAGCTCTGATACTGACACTGATGGGACTGACACTGTGTCTGTGCTCATTTAGGTTTTTTTTTTTTTTTAAACGTAACATATTAGACATCGACTCGTACAATTTGGATCTTCTTTTCCCGGCTAAAATAAAAGTTCCTCTGATTTAATAATAACTGAGTTTTTAAACTGACGTCCAAACTCTCACGGCTAACTTTTACAGCTGCGACAAAACAGTTCCGTTCAGTCACTGTTCCCTGCGGTACAGAAAGCACCTGGTCCCCTGTCCCATTTCAATGGAACCATTGTTCCTCTGGAACAATATGCTCCAACGTACGTTTGAATTCACGTGTTTCCAGAAAACCTTTTTGTCTCTTTCCTGTCCGTGCTGCCACTGATTCATCTTTTCATTTATTAAAAAAAAAAAAAAAAATTAATTTCTCAGACACATGTTTTTTTTTTTGGTTCCTGCTCCATCTAAAACGCCGCCCTTCTCTCCCTCCACCCAGGGTTTGTTTTCCCAGACTGGGCCTACAAGCCCGAGTCCAGCCCCGGTTCTCGACAGATCCAGCTCTGGCACTTCATCCTGGAGCTGCTGAGGAAAGAGGAGTACCACGACGTCATCGCCTGGCAGGGAGACTACGGCGAGTTCGTCATCAAGGACCCGGACGAGGTGGCCCGTCTGTGGGGGGCCAGGAAGTGCAAACCACAGATGAACTACGACAAGCTCAGCCGGGCTCTAAGGTGAGGAGAAAAAGGATGTTACGGTTCACAGTGGTGTCAGAATAACAGAGGAGGTGGATGAACGCAGGAACAGCCAGGCCAGCTGCCTCCAGACACGTGCTGCGTCTGGAAAGACGTGAATTCTTAACCTTAAAACCTTTTTTTTGTAGTCATATTTTTGTGAACTAGTCACGGTGAACATGGCGTGGTTGTTGTGAGTTTCCTGCTGCTGTGAACAGAGCGTGTCCTGCTGCATCCTTCACGTGTGACAGTTCAACTCTGGATCTGGTCTGGTGCTGATTTTCCACACATTTTTCTTAGAATTCCTGAAAAAAAACCAAAAAAAACAGCTTCCATACAGTACATGAGGAACCGTGTAGTATTTGAGGGTGTATGAAATGTCGGCTTCTGTGACCAACGCCTGTTGATGTCCCCTCATGTAGGGACAGTTACTTAGTCAGTTCTGTAGTGTAGCGGTTAGCACGTGTGCCTCAGAAGAAGAGAGTCCTGGGTTCAATTCCCAGGCTAACCACACTGCCGGAGGCGGCCTGTTGTAGCAGATCAACTGTTAACACAGGAATTTCCCAAATATGGGATCAATAAAGTCCAAATTATTATTATTAATTAGACGATAAAATTATTATTAATTACACGATAAAATAAAACAAATCCATTTCCATTTGTTCCACAGAGTGAACCCTCTTGTCAGTCGTCCACTCTTTGTAGCCCAAATCTGTTCAAAAGTGGTGGTGACAAATAAAAGGCAATACAGTGCCCCCCCCCCCCCCCCCCCCCCCCCCCAACATAATCACCTGACCTAGTTTTCTCACCTGGAGAGCCTTGGTCCCAACAGTCGACAGAGTCAATTCAAACGGAGCAGCACAAAATGATGATGTGACATGAAATGTCAGGAAGTGGTGTGTCTGTAACGAAGGGGCGTTCAGGTGCCGTCGGAGATTTGAGAATCGTAAAGAAAGACTCATGACAAAGTAATATTTGAAAAGGGTCCTGCAGTGGTTAAATGTTGTTTATCGTAATAATATCGTTGATATGGAACCGTTTTTTTTTGTCGTTAAAAACGGTCGAGACTTTGGGACAGAAGGGTCTCCGTGGAGGTTTGAGGAACGTCTGAATCTGTGACGTCACCACGCGGTGCTGGCAAATGATTGGATTCTCTGCAACTGCAGCCGGTGCCATAACTGGTTTCCACTGGGCACCATGTTCAGTCTTATTGGTTTTGGCTCCTCGGCGTTCAGTCGGAGGAAGGGTTAAAAACATTCAGGGTGATTGTAGATATTTATTAAAGTTTCTGGAACTCTCGCTGGTTCCTGCTAATGGTTTACGACGTGGTGCAAACGCATCACGGTTCCATCCGCACCAGAACATTGTGTAGTTTAGATTCCTTTCATTTTAACTCCTTATAATCAGATGAATTTTTTTTTTTTTTCCCCTCATTCCTGTTAGTTTTCAGAACGTCGCTGTTCCGAGTGAAGGAACATCTGAGCCGTTAGAAGAACCCGCTCCTGTTGTCGGGTGTCGTGTTGTGTTAAACGGCGCATCTGCGCCTCACGTTCAGTTCAGACTCCAGGGTGACAGCAGATTTAGAAACACACACACCTTCTCCCTCGGCGGAACACATGTGGGAAGCTGCAGCGTTTTATTTAGCCACCGGCCTGTTCTCTCAGCGGCGTGTACACAAACACACCGCAGCACGCAGCGAGTCATCACTGTCGCCTCCTGTGTTGTAGGTTGGTGTGGGTTAGAGTTTGCCATGGTGATGACTAGTTTCACTGCCTCATCACCACACACACACACACACACACACACTCACTTAACACCTTGTTATATGTCAGCCTCCTCCAGCCCATCTGTGGCTTGTTTGTTGCTCAAACCTTTATTTTTCTGCACATTTAAAGACACACAACCTTCTTTTAATCATGATGATGATGATGATGATGAAGATGATGATGTCAGGCCTGTGTCTGTGATGTCAGACATTTTTATTGGTGAATCTGTTGCTGTGCTGACAGATGCGTCCGGCTGTCCTTTCTTGATCTTACCACACAGAACTGTTTAGTTCCTGGAGTGGAGCTCTGTTGGAACAGCGTGTTGTGTTCAGGCTCTGAGAACGTATGTAGCTAACCGCTAGCTAGCTGCTAGCCCTTCACATCACACAGAAATGATTCCCTGCTTTCTAATTATAGTCTCTCGGTTTTTTTATTTCTCGTTGCTCAAATCACCACAGACTGGACCGCTCTGCAGTTTTCCCTGGGCCGTACGTGGTCCTCGAGCCGTGATTTGAATCCGGCTGGTTTTACTGTATTTAATGAATTCAACAACAGACAGAAACCCTCCACTGAACAGATGTCTGGACTGGAGATGAGCCTGATTTAAAATGTATAATTTACGACTTCTTCCGATAAAATATTTACGATTCTCGAAAGGGTTTTATTTGTGAAACACGGGGGACAAATTTGCTCTTAAGTGGCGTCACGTCCCATCAGGAAACTTTAGATTTATTTACCCTGCGTTTTTGTTGCTTCAGCTTTGTTGCGGTTTCTTTTGACGTCATTAAAGGGAGAGTTGGAAGTTTTTCGTGATTCGATTGAAGATTGAAGAAAACAACAACAAAAAAAAAAAGACTAAAAAAATCAAACCTAACCAGTTGTTGGCCTGAAGCCTTTTCACAGACCAGTGTGTCTGAGAGGGAAGTGCTTTCACTTTGGTCACAGCGTTGAACATCAGGCAGCAGCTGGAGCCAAACTGTGTTCGCTGCGTTCTTTCTTGTGGTTTGTGAAGTTTTTTTTTTTAATCCAAACGTCTGTTCATTAAGTCTGAAGACTTCAGAGGAGACTTGAGTTTATGATGTGAACTTTATGATCGATGCCTCTCGAGCCTGCAGTGGCACGCACGTGTGTTCGCCTCTGAACGGGACCTTCTGAGGGCGGTCGCTGTTCGCTGCACAATCTAGTTCTAGTTCTAGGATCGGAGCTTGAAAGAGTACCAGTAACCATTTTAGCTTTTATTCCCAGGGACCAACCAAAGGAAATAGAAGACTTTTTCAAAACAAAAGTTCCAAAACTTTTAAACATATGGCAGAACCGAACCAGAGCCGCGAACCCTGCAGTACTGTGTTTTTTACATAATAAATATAAACTGTAAATATATATTTTTTTGTGATATTAAGGGTTGGGTATTGGCTAGAATCTGTCGTTATGATACGTGTCACGATACAGGAGCAACGATGCAATATATTGCGATATACTGCGATACTACAGGTACGGCGATTTATTTATTTATAAATAAGTCTGATCCTAGTCTCAGACTCTGTTCCATCTGAACATCAGTTCCTAGCACTGGAACAGAAGGATCTACATTTGGAATCACTAGAGAAGAAAGAAAAGAAAAAGAACATGAACCAACACCAGGAATATAAAAATATAATAATATAATATAATATATATATATAATATAATATATATAAAAATCAATAACTGATGACTTAACATCCGAAGTCATTGATGGTGAAAAGCGAAGAAACTACAAAAGTACCGTAGCCTGCCATTAGGGGTCATCTGTGGGTCATTTCTGGAAGAAGTGGCGTGAACCGATTTTTATTTGTATTTTGTTTCAGATTCAACGCTGCCCCTCACTTTTTACGTTGTAGTTGCAGAGCACATTTCCCTCTCATGTTTTTTTTTCATCCCTAACACCATCCATCTCTGCACATGTCCGTGGACATCACGTCCTCTCAGCGTTTCCTGAGTGGACGTGCCTGATGTTGTCAACACCCACTCATAAATATGGCCGCTCGTCTCTAAGTGTTTGTGTGCAATATGTCTTTTTTTTTTTTTTTTTTTTTTTCAACATGCTGGCTGTTCTTCCTGCTCACACTGTACTTGTCAATTTCCACCTTTTCCAGCAGCTGCGGTTCTGAACCTCGACACACGTCGATCATCCGCTCTCGGTTCATCGACTTTGTTACAGATGTCAGCGCAGGATCATGTCATAAAATAATTTGAACCCAAACCCGCCTCAGAGGTGTGACAGAACAGAACGTGGGAAGAACCGGTTCCACAGACACCAACAGTGTTCCTGTAGAGGAAGGAAGTCTTTCCACTTCCTGTTGTTGTGGTTTATATATATGGACAGTTAACCAGGTCGACCAGACCAGACCAGACCAGTTTGACCAGACCAGACCAGACCAGTTTGACCAGTTGAATCAGAGCAGATCACTGCTGATGTTCCAGAGTTACTGGACAGAAATGGGACTTTTTTTTCCTCTCCTGTTATTGAAGAGAACAGTGTCAGTTGATGAGGTTCACAGACCAGTTCAGTCAGTGATGGGGTTTGACTCAGAGATCAGTGGATTTGGTCACAAATTGTGTGTGGTTACGTCCCGACTTTAGGCTTCGTGTGACGTGATATCAGACCGTGTACGTCCTCACTTATTAATTACACGTGCTGCCGTGCGTTGGTGCGTCGGCTGTTTGTGTGTGTGTGTGTGTGTGTGTGTAGAGGCCCCTTCCTTCATTGACTCATTCAAGCTGTGGATGAGCTCCCGCTTCACACAATACGGCTGTGTTTTTTGTTCGACCAAACGGCGGTGACTAACGCTCCGTCATCGTGACTAATATTCTCTCCGACGTTATCATCTGCTTCTCTTCTCAAATGACTGCTGCCACTGGGGCTGGATTTCCTGAGGGACAAAAACAGTGTTTCAGACCAAAGTCACAGTGTCTCTGCTGCCTTTTCATGGTTATGACATGTGTATTTTTATTAGTATTAGTATTGATAATGAAAAAAAAACCCCGATAACACAAAGTTAAAAATAGTTTGGGGGAAAACCGTCTGGATGTGAAAGTGAAAGTCACTAGGTGGCAGCACTGCAGCTTGTTTAGACCGTTTCGTCAAAAAGTGAAATATCGGACGTCCCTTAGTGTGTAGAGTTGATACGATGTGTCTTAAATACATATTTAAAATGTACGTATAAAACCGCCAACTATTTGTGGAGGTTTTTGTTTTTTTCTTCTTCTCTCCGTCTGTCTTCAACTCCACTTCTCGCAGCTCAAGATGCTAGCAATTTACAGAGGAGCAGGAAATATGGAGGAATTTGTTGGTAATTCAGCAGAGGAATGTGTTCTGTCAAGAGTTTGACGATAAATTACTTTAGTCTCGGTGTCATGAGGTGCAGTTGTAGGAGTGGTTGTCAAACTGGGGGCTGCAGCCCAGACTGGGACGACGGGACTCACATCTCACACAACTATAAAAGCACTTTGTTTAAATGTCACTCGTTTGTTTTGTTGTTTTTTTTTTTGTGTCGAGTTAATTCACATGTACATTTTTAATAATCAAGTCAGGCAGAAATTGTTACAGAGAAAAATCTGCAGATATATATTTATTGTTTATTTTGATTTAGTTGAAAATATGGAGATGTTTATGGTATAAAGTTGTTTTTTTTTTGTCATGTAGATAGAGAACAGATCTATTGTCATTAGTACTTTTTTTGTCATGTAGATAGAGAACAGAACTATTGTCATTTAAGTTCTGACGTTCTGTTACGATTTTTTTTTTCTCCCCAGATTTTTAAATGTCACATATTTATATTTTAAGACGTTTCTTCTTAGCGTTTTCTGCCTCTGTTTTTTTTTCTGCTGCTCTTCTTATTTCACCCAACATCACAAAAACAGCACTTGACATTTTCCCAGAATGAAGCGCAGACTAACGACTGAATGAGACACGGCTTTTATATTTATTTATTTATGTTTTTTTAATCAGGGTAAAAATGAAAGTGTTTTGTTCCTGAGGCCGTGGGTGAGTCAGAGGAAGCCATTTTATCATCTTTTTTCATGAGCTGTTCTCACTTCTCTCTCCATCCTCGTGTGTTCCCACCATGACTAATGCTCTCGTTCTAATGGAGTACAGTCATCACAACGTCTCTCTCTCCCTCCCTCCCTCTAGCTCTCTCTCTCTCTCTCTCAACCTGTTGAATAATCACAGTGACAGAAAAAGAAATAGAAAAAAAATCATCCTCACCATGTGTTCACATTATTGTCAAGATGCAATCCAGTCTGCCTCCACCTGGGGGCAGGACCGTGACCCGGGGGTGTTAGCAGTTTACTGGCTGGGAGTTAAAGATGATTTGTGTCAGGAAATAGTGACAATACAACCAAAAATATAATTATTTCATAAACGTAATAAGAAAAAAAAAACATCGTAATGTCACTGTTTTTTTTACGGTTCGTTTGGACCTTTAACTTAATCCTACCACTGTACGTTTGGACTGGGGTCTGAAAGGGGATTTTCAGGGTCATGATTAAGATGGCCCCAAAAATACAATTAGAATAAAATAATATGACACTAAGTTAATGGGAATGATGATCAAAATGCCAACTAAGTTAATGGGAATGATGATCAAAAATACCATCAAAATGCATCCTTTTAACAATGTGTTAAATGTCAAATAACTGATGAGAACCTTTTTCTGACCTTTTTCTCTCTCTGCTCCGTCAGATACTACTACAACAAGCGGATCCTCCACAAGACCAACGGGAAGAGATTCACCTACAAGTTCAACTTCAACAAACTGGTGCTGGTCAACTACCCTTTCATCGAAGTGGGCACTGGTACGTACCACTTTTGTTTTTTGTTTTTACGACAAATCTTACGAGAGTGAGTTTTTGTAAATAAAAAAAAAAAAAGAATATTCTGCGTCGGTACCAGGCTGTAGTTAATGATGTTTCTGTTAATCTTACTTGCTAACAGCTAACAGCATATGTTCCTATGCTAGAGAAGAGGAGACGTTGATAAAAGGTTTGAGTTCTGAACATGAAAATACTTTCTTGCTGCCAAACCATTAGTTCTGTTTTTTTTTTTTTTATGATGAGTGAAAAGGAGGTCCACGGATATGTAGTGTTTACAGCGCCCTCTGTTGATGGGTCTGCAGCTGGGCTTCGCTCCTGCACTCACACAGATGTTGGGACTTTGTTGGAGAGGTCGTATCCAGACCACAGATTGTTTTTTTTTTTTGTTTTTTTTTAGCGTGATGCCAAACGGTTGGGAGTTTATTGGTGCGCGTTGTAGCCTGACCATAAAAGCCTCCCCTCACTGAGGGTCCGCACCGCGGGCCGCGTGTAAATATAAACCAAACTTTGCTGAGGGTTTATCTGGTGCAGCTGTTTAACGTTAGCTCCATTATGAGACTTTTTTTTTTTTTTACGAAGACACTTGCGGCTAGCGCACCATGTGGCCCGCTGCTTCGCGTAAGCCGTTACAGTAAGTGTGTGTGTGTGTGTTTCCCTTAAAACACCAGTGTGCCACGTCCCACTGTTATCCCTCCTCCTCCTCTTCTCCTACCTCTGAAGTCGTCTCTTGTTCTGGTCGCGGCCACCCAGTGTAAACACAGCCCATATGGAGCGTTGGATACGGGTGACATAAGTGCAGCACGAAACTTTAATTACAGCCCGCGTGTGATGTGGCCCACACACTGACATGTTGTGATATGATGGTTTGGTAGGATGGCTTTTTACACACACACACACACACACACACACACACTCTTCACACACTCTTTTCTCATGATTCTGTCTGACACACATGTGTCTTGGGGGGGGACCACAGTGGAACACATTTACTGGCCCGCTCCAGGCAGAACTGGAAAAAAACAGAGGAACCCAGCCCATGTTTGTGATGGCAGTGAGAGACACTTTTCCAATATTTAATTCTGGCACGTGCTCCGATGCCAAGAATTTATTGCAGTGCCACAGTCTGGCTCGTGGGTGTGTGCACGTGTGCGTGTGTGTGTGCGTGTGTGTGTGTGTGTGTATAAGAAGAGGGAACGGTTCAAACGAGAAGAGAACTTGTGGTTTTGGAGGAACCCTCCGGTTTCTCAGTGTTCCCAGCGACTGAGACAGTTGTCGGAGAACACTTGGTCCTCTGGTCCTCTGGACCTGGTCCTGGTCCTGGTCCTGGTCCTGGTCCTGGTCCTGGTCCTGGTCCTGGTCCTGGTCCTGGTCCTGGTCCTGGTCCTGGTCCTGGTCCTGGTCCTCTGGACCTGGACCTTCAGCTGGTCTCCTCCTCAGTCTAGAGTTAGGGCCAGACTTTTTTCAAAGATTTATTTCTTTATTTATTCACAGTATAAAATCAAATCAATTTTTTTTTTTTTTACTGAAAGTGAGTGAATAAAACGTTCTGTAATAATTCACACTGTAAAGAACTGAAGTCCCTGAAAAGATGAATTGGTTCATTGTGTTCTTTGTTCAGTTCCTGGACTCACTCCTACAGTGGGTCGGTCTGCAGCACGACCTCGGTGACAGAACCGATGTTTTTTACCCTGCTTCATCCTTAACTCCTCCTTCTTTTCTCACTTATTTTCCCCCAACAGGGCGAGGAATCCCACAGAGCGCCCCCCCAGTGCCGTCTGGCGGGACCCACTTCCGCTTCCCCCCCTCCACACCCTCAGATGTCCTGTCCTCCAGCGAGGAGCTGCGCAGTCCGGGCATGTTCAGCAGCGTGGCCCGACGGATGGCCCGCGGCCCCGGCCGCGACTGC